TGTACTTCCATGAAGCACTATATTTCACAATTTATTCACTACTAAAGGAAACTCTTTCCTTAACTTATTACATTTATTTTAAATAGCTCCTTTGTATTGAAGACATTTTCATTCTCCTGACAATGAAATTGCAAATTCCTATCATAGTATGTTTATGTATATCTAGAGTGAGTTTCATCAATAATATATTTTAAAGGAATACTGAATTATAATTATTATAAGCTGAACCAAATGTTCATGTATATAATTTGCTTATCATTATGCTATATTGAGAAGGAGTTGAAATTAATCATATTACTAATCACCAAAGAGGAAAAAAGTTATTTTCAGATAACTGGAGCCAAAACATCCTCCAGTTTTTATTCATACTCTTTTCAACATTTTTCTCTTATATTCTGGTCCTACCTCATTACTCAAGAATGCCATATATTGCTTGTCTTAAGTTCAACCTTACAGTCCTTAATCATATTGAATAAAGGATACCTTTTCTAAGACATTAATCATGGATTTAAAGAAATATTACTAAACACTTAACATATGGCAGTCACTCAACATAGTATTACACTGTTACATTGTTACACTGCTATTATCTTGTTAAATTCTCACACTCACCATCTCACCACACTTTTAAAAATTAGGAAGTTGGAGTTTAAAAACACTGAGCAAGTCATCCAAAGTGACAGAGCCAGATATTGTACTCACAATATCTGTCTTCTAGTCGCTGGCTTTCAAAAGTCATATTTCCAGAGCTATTCTCTGCAACACCACCAGTACTTGTGTTTTGGCTAAAACCAGTGCTTTTTTGGACACCTTCCCAAGCCCATTAAAATGGTAATATGTACAAGTTTGGTCTGTTCCCCATCTTAATATTTTTAGGCAGAGCCTAAATAAATTAATCATCTATTTTCCAGATTCTTAATTTTTTTCTTTATTAGCTTTGATCAAATACATAGGAAAAGTGAGGAGTTTTAGTCATTCAAAACATCAGCTGTGTAATTCAACATTCCTCAATTGGTCAATAGCTGTGGGTCCTTGAGAAAGTCATTCATTCTTTCACTCAAGAAATTTGTGCTAGGCTCAGGGTGTGCAACTGTTAACAGTTCGGATAGGATCACCACTACCTTGTGGCTGGTGTTTTAGTCTTCCCTAGGATGCAATCTCTTTGTTTCAAATATGTGTAATAATTATAATGAGCTCCTAAAGATTCTGTGTTGACAATTTCCACACAGCACTTAGCACAGGCTGTGATAGTGTAGCGGTGATGATGATCACGTTGATGATTGTGATGATGAGTGCTAAGAACTGGATCTTAAATTTCTCCACCAGTATGGGTTTGTAGGATTGGTGGTCTCTCGGTGGTCCTCAGGATAAAATGGCCAGAGGATTTAGAAAATAAAGACAAGAGACAATAGCTGGGGTCTGGTGGAGTTACCTCTTACTTGATAGGCAAGAGGACTGACTTCAACAGTAGGGGCTTTTATTTTATACTTTTGCAAAGTTAGTATCACCCAGGTAATGTTGCCTAGCAACTAATGACAGGAATTTTCCAGGCAGGATGTCTTTCTGAAGACTGAGGTAGCTTGGCTGCTTGAGGCACTCTGGCTCTGTCCTGCCCTCACACATATGACCAATTCCAGCTCCAGTGGCTCCCAACAGGGTTTACTCTTTTTGTTTTAGTTTGGTTTGGGGGATTAGGGATTGAACCCAGGGCCTTTTCACTGATCTTCATCCTCAACCCTTTCTATATTAATTTTGAGACAAGTCTCACTATGTCACTGAATTGCCCTGGCTGGGTTCAAACTTGCAGTTCTCCTGCCTCAGCCTCCCAGAGTGCTGGGATTACATGTTTGTGCCACCACACCCAGCTAAGGCTGACTTTTTAATCTTTCCTATAACCCAATGTTCTTATCCTTAAAATACACTATAATTATAATAGACTCATAGAGATTCTATGCGGATGATCTGTACAAGGAACTTAGCACTCTACTGGCAGGTTTGTAATAAAGTTGAACCATGATGATGATCACCATCTTCTTGATTATTGTGGGTTGATGAATGCTATAGATTGGATCTTAAATTTCCCGCAAAGGCCATGGGTGAAGGTTTGCTTTGAAACCTGTGGTGCTGTTGGTAGGTGGGGCAAAGTGACTAATGTGTGCCCTTAAAGGGGTCCCAGCCTCTTTTTCTGTCTTTGCTTCCCAGCTGCCATGAGGTGAGCAGTTTTGCCCCACTAGGACCCTTGCCATGATATTCTGCCCTGCCAAAAGTAATGAACTGAACCTCTGAAACTGTAAGCCAAACACATCTTTCTTCCTTTTGTTATCTGAGAGACTTTATCACAGTGACAGAAAGCTGGCTAACAATCATCATTCACTCTAACAATTTGAACAAATCAACCAGATAGAGATGATAAAACTTTTCCTGCCAGTACTACTATTGACCTTTATCAGATGTTTGATCATCTGATAAAGGTCAGATCTGATCAGATGATCATCTGATAAAGGTCAGATCTGATTAGATGTTTGATCAGGGTTTGGAGGGGGCATATTTAGGGATTTCCAAAGCACAGAAGTTGTGTCTCGTGTCTCTCAAGCATAGGACACAGTATGTGAGATCAGAAGCATTCCAGGCATTGCACTGGTAAGCTGCAGAGTCTAGACAAGAGCTTTCCAGTATTTCCCCAATATCTCTCCCTCCCTCCCACTACTTTCTTCTACTTTTCTCCCTCCCTTCTTCTCCCCATCTCTTTCTCTCTCTGAAATCTACACAGCTGCCAGGAAAGCAAGGTCACTCTAGCCCACTGGAAGATGAGACTCACGGAGCGGCATCTGGCCACACGTGCTAGTGAGCCCAACTGAACCAGCCGGAATCTATGAGTTAGATTAATGGCTGTTACAGAAAGTCACTGCATTATACCCCTGCCTCAGTCGTTGGAGGATTTTATTTGTTAGAATCTAACGAATAACTGTTCGTGGAAACCCTCGCAATTTCGTGGCAACTGCAAATATCCTCCACAATTATTTTTGTGGGTGGAGGTTTGCAAGTAGCCAATTTGAGAATGTTACTCAGTTCTCCTTGTCGCTGATTGGCTGCTGCCCTGTAATCCATCTGGGTGGATAAACCTGCATTCTGGCAGTATATGCTGTACTGCAGTGTTTTCCTGGTTTTGTTCTTCTTAAACCGTTAAGTTACCTAAGGTGCTCTCCAAATGCCCTGCACCCTTTAAGGCTTTTTAATGCAGTATTTTATTAAATTAAATTACATAACTGGGGGAGACATAGCATATTTAGGGTTTAAACTATAAAGATAGGCATTTTTCTGAACATATCTGAAATTTGTGGTTTTTCACAATTCGTGGTGCTCTAGGCAGGTAACTCCCAAGAACTGCAGGGATCCACTGCAAATTGGGGGATAGTTTTTTATGCAGCCAACACCTACTGATACAGCGGCATTTTTACTTCGACTAATCTTTATAGAAAACATGTGAACTATTATGCAGTTTAAAATTCTTGATTCTAATTCTTCATAAAATTCCACAAAGGTTTTCAAAATTTAATCAAACATCTAACTGCTTACGGTCACACAAAGGATAACAAAACTACTTCATGGTGCACCATACTTAATATTTCTCAAAATAATTATTGCCGTAAATCTTTTGTCATTCTTATTGTTCCATTGTCCTGCCTGATTTTTACTCAATTGCCTTTTCAACAAATTGCTTTTTAAAAAATCATCTGCAGCCAAGGCAGATCCATCTTGACTTTGAGGTGTAGTCAGTGACGAAGAGAAGGCTCATTTAATTGCCTCTGAAGAGGAAGAAAATGTGAAGTTCAACCTAAAAAAATAGGCATTTTTCTGACCATATCTGAAATTTGTGGTTTTTCACAAACTGACATGAATTGAATACACCCACACGAGAGAAGCTACTTTAGACTCTGATAGAAGGAAAAACGCAAGAGTGGAGGCTGGAGGAGAGAGAGCTGATGTGCGTGAGAGTTTAAAGTGGACACACAGCAAGGGTGGCTTGCAGATAATGTTGAATGTAATAAAGCTAAAAAAGCAGCTAGAGTGAATCATTCGATGGCCTAGGGATTTAGGAGCCAGAGGAGTTTGGATTACTCTAGGGAACATGGGTGCTGCCTCGCGCTTTGTACAGGGCACATCACGATCATATTTGTGCTTCAGACACCAAGCATCAGTGTTTTTTTATTCTTAAGGTAGCTTTCTACAGGCTGAAAAGAAGGCTTGCAGTATTGGCAGTGAGCACAGAGAGAAGCGTTCGAATAGAGTAATGTTTCTGCTTTGAGTGGCACAGGCCTTCGGGCTGATCAGATGTTTGAGGGCAAGAGAGAAGCCCGGAGATCACAGCTAGGCTGAGCCACGCGGAAAGCAGTGATAAAATTCCCTGATTAAAAGCGTTTGTAGAATCAAGAGAAAAGCTGGACTTGAGATACCCCGGTGTGGCACTTGAGACATGTGGGCTGTTGTATAGGACTGCATTAAATATACTCCATAGATTCTTTATTATTATTGTTTATTATTTTCATTATTATTGTTTTATTATTTTATTATTTTTTTGTTATTATTGCTTTTACAATTCCAGCAAAGCACGTTGTTACTACGGGAAATGGTCAAGGTGGGCAGCTCACTGCCTATACTAAACGTGGTGAGGACGTTTACGAAAATATATTTTGTCTGCCCCTTAAAGAAACGATGACATAGATACCAGCACTAACTCCTCATGATGAATATATTCATTGTGTACCTCAAACATGCACTAAAGAAAATAATAATAAAGGGGGGAAAAAAATGAGGCGATGGGCCTTGACACATGCTCAGTAGTAGCACAAGCTCCGTGCTCGGTCCTTCCAAACCGAAAGAGCAGTTGCCCTCTGCTGGTCAGACCTACACAATGCAGCGAAAGGAGATAAAACTCCTAGGGGAGTGGTCGCTGCTTCTTGACGTAAACCGGGCGTCCAGGAAGACGCGCTGGTGCTTACGTCACTAGTGTGCGCCGAAGGAAGGCTCATCGGCCTCATGGCGGCGGGGTCCTGTGAGGCCCCGCCAGCGAAGGCGGCCTCTGAAGGGCTAGGCGTAGGACCGGCCGGCGTTCTGCCCTGCCTCGAGCTGCCGACTTATGCTGCCGCTTGTGCGCTGGTGAACAGCCGCTACTCGTGCCTTGTGGCCGGGCCGCACCGGAGGCACCTGGCCTTGTCGCCCCGCTACCTGAACCGGAAACGCACCGGCATCCGGGAGCAGCTGGATGCCGAGCTCCTTCGCTATTCCGAGAGGTACCGCTCTCTGCGCCTCTGCACTCCCCGAGCTCGCGACGCCGAGGCGTGGCTGACGCCCCTGCCAGGCGCGGGAAGGAGGAGCGGATTCCCGTGCTAATGGTTCAGTGGAAGGCGGAGAGGTCGCGCCGGCCCGCCGGAGCCTAATCCGGGTTGTTGTGCTGTCCGCCCCGCGAGGCGGCGCTGCCCCGCTCGGGATCTTAGAGAGGCTCTTCGCAGGCAGGGAAGAGAATTCCGAGGTGAAGTGGAAGTGGCGGCGGCGGGAGTGTAGAAAGTCACCCCGGGAGGGAGATCAGCTGCATCGGGTCCTGGAGACCTACTAGGCCGAGCTCTTGTTGGCATTAAATTTTTCCTTTAGCTCCTTCAGGATGTTTTCTCATTCGACGGTTTGATACCTGTACTTAAAAAAAAAAAACAAACTCGGGGGCTGGGGATTTAGCTCAGCGGCAAAAGCGCCTGCCTGGCAAGCACAAGGTCGTGAGTTCGGTTCCCGGTACCGGAGAAAAGCCAAAAAAAAAAAAAAAAAAAAAAACTCTTATTCCATAGGCGATTGCACGTAAGCATCTGTAGAACGGTTTCATTTTAAAACATGATAGGCAGTTGTTGCTTGGACCTGATAATTTTTTGAGTTCTCTTGCACATGTTTGAGGATCGAGGAGATACTTTTTGTTTAAAAGCATAAAGTCTACCCAGTGCAATTGGTGAGCCTGTTAGTCTCGGCAGTGGGAAGAAAAGGTGCACTTACATTAAGTCGTTCGAAAGTAACTTGAGCCTCAGAATTACAAGTGGAGATGTGTCTTGCTATTCCCCTGAACCACTGTGGCTCAAAAGAAGAGTTCAGAAACTAGAGAGAAGAGATTTCCCATGGATTCATGGTTGACCCTTAAGTCTGTGAACACTCAGGGATTTCCTTTTAATTTCATTAGGCAAATTAGCTAAAGCTTACTCTTCTTTGTCAATGGTTCCTGCTCCTGTACTCCCCAAGCTTGTCTAGAATACACAGCTTTCTCTGAGCACCAACACATTTATTTTATGTCTGTATTACATACTAGAGGGTTAGGATATAAAAATAAAATAGTGTCTTCGTTTCAAGGAGTTTTAAGCTGTAGTGGAGGTATTCATGTTAGACAAATCCAATGAATTTTTTAAATTTACAGAAATCTAAAGTTACAGTAAAGAAATGAATTGGATCTTGTGACTTTCTTTGATAGATATAACTACTTACACAATTTAAAGAAAAGTTTATAGTGCTGTAATGCAGTGTCATAAAGTGTATTTCAACATGATGGCCAAGCATGGCTGTCTGGGAAGACTAAAGAAGTTAGATGCTTCCCGCACCTCTACATAAGAACCATTGTGAATGTGGCAGTTAAAATGTGGGTTGATGTAGACAGTTGGCCTTGACTACTCAAACAACATAGTTCCTCCAGTCATCAGTGCTCTTCTTAAATGTTTGAGTGATTTTGCCAGAGTCCCATACAAAGTAGTTTTTGGTTTTTGTTTTTTTTTTCCCTCCGCGGTACCAGGAATCGAACTTAGGACCTCGCGCTTGCCAGGCAGGCGCTGTGGCACTGAGCTAAATCCCCAGCCCCACAAAGTAGTTTTTGAATTATATAATAATCCATTCTTGAAAATTTTTAATATATACTAAAACTATGCAGAGATGTCTTAATGTTGATACATTTGTTTTTAAAAAGTTAAATTCTTTGCCCAGCTATTTATTAACAGAGTTGCCCCATGTTCAAAAATTGCAGGGACTGAAGGATTTTCCATCATTGTACAGGACTGTCCTTCGTACTTCGCAGACTTTCTTCCCTGGCTTTTGCAATGTTTGTAACAAGCGTGAACAGCTCCACAAATTCCCAACTACCTCCTAGGGAAAAAGTATGCTTCCTCCACTTCAGAATCTCTGAGAATAGAGAAGTCTTTGATTAGAGGAAATGATATCATAATTTTTTTTCAGTCCTTTTTTGCAATTATTTGCCCTTTTCCTTTTCCTGCTGTTTTCAGTGCCTAAGGTTGTGTTAATGATAAGATAGTTTCTGCTTAAGAAAACCATATGCAGAAAGAAACAAGTCAGGAGTGCTTTCCTGAGGAAGACTGAGGTTATAATTTTCCTAATTTTATTACTTTCCTCAGAGTCATGGCTATTTTGCTATAATACAATCTATTAGGGATAAATTCTTTCTTTTCTCTGTATTTCATGCTAGAAATTTGAGTCCAACAAAAAAAAGTATTCTCTGTCAGTAGCCTAAGATTTGTGTTTGGAACCCAAACATACATGTAGGTAGATGTAACAGTGATAAATTCAGAACAGTGATAAAGGACAGTGATTCAGAACAATGATAAATTTGTACATGAAGTAGAAGAGTGATTTTAACTTTGGTTTGGGGAGTTAGGGAAATTTTCCCTAGGTCTTTGTCCTGCATAGTTAAGAAATGATACTTAGTAGTAGTTTGCTAATCCTGAGTGTGAAATACTGAAGTGTTAAAAGTCAGTTCTCAATAAATCATGTAGTTGTATGTTTTGACATTTCCATTTACTAGCAACAGTTACAGTTTGGGATTTTTGTTTATTAATTCATTAGCAGTAGTAATCCTTCCTTTAATATGCTATCATGTACATAAGTTCAATAATATCAAAATTATTGTGTTCAGTCATACAGAAATATTCCTTTCCTTGCCTACCTCACTGTTTCTCTAGCATGAACAATTCAAATAAGGAAGAAAGGTCAGTTTATTTCAGCAACACAGTGGAAGCTTTTGTTGAAAAGCAACTGCTAAAGTTGTTACAATGAGGCATAGAGTATATTTTTGATGGCTGGTACATTTAGGTGATGTGTACTTCTTGGACTCTTAGATTAAGTATCTAGTATAATGCGTAGTTTAAAAGAGGATACAAGTTATCAGGTATCATTTTCTTCTTTTCTTTTTTAACAGCCTTTTAGGTGTCCCTATTGCGTATGATAATATCAAAGTTGTGGGTGAACTGGGAGATATTTATGATGATCAAGGACACATTCATCTTAACATTGAAGCAGATTTTGTTGTTTTCTGCCCTGAACCAGGGCAAAAGCTTATGGTATGTATATTATTTTTTCCCTACTTTTCTTTGCATAATTATGTAACTTAGAAAACTTGAAGAGACTACACACACATGCAGATATACTTTCTGTACAGATACATAGAGATTCAAATATTGTGGATATGTAAAAGTTATTTTTTATGAATCTATTTTCTTCGGTATAAGTTAGATACTCCTTGCTTTTGGATTTCATTTATTAGGAATTTCATTTTCTAGCCTTTCACTTTGAGTCTCTGTATTATTACAGGTGAAGTTACTTTCTAATAGGCAGCATATTGATATGTTACTGGGTTGCCATTCAGTGTCTTAACTGGAGAAGCAACTCCCTTTGCATTCTCAGTTACTATTGAAGGGTGTGGACTGGTTCCTGTAATTCTATTGATTTTCTTTTAGTTGTTTTGAATATTCTTTGTTCGTGTCTTCCTCCTTTATTTATCTTATTGATTTGATAAGTTTACTTTATTGATAATGCTTGATTCTTCCTTATGTCGCATTAGTGTATCTGTTCTTTCAGTGGAAGTTACTCTTTTTTGTGCTTTTATGATGTATCTTTCTTTTGTTTCTGGGTGTTAGATTCACTTAAGAATGTTTTGTGAGGTTGATCTGGTTACTGTGAATTCCTTTCATTTATACTTATCTTGGAAAGTTTTTCTCCTTTACTTCTGAAGGATAGTCTTGTTGAGTGTGGTAATCTTGGTTGGCAATTATTTCCTTTCAGGACATGAAGTACATTGTTCTGTCTATGCGCTATCACCTCCTGACCTTTAAGAAATCTGCTATTTATCTAATGAGTTTACTTTTAAATGTGACACTTTTCTCTTGCAGAATTTTACATTCTTTTTTCCTGTAATTTTGACAGTTTTAGTTTATGTTATGGAGGGACTAATTTCATTCATTTCTATGTGGGGTTCTAGAATATTGCTATACCTGGGTGTTCATATCTTTCCAAAGACTAGGGAACTTTTCTGCGGTTACTTCATTGAATGGTTTCTATGCTGTGCTGGTGACTTGTAACTGTTGACTTGACTGGGTTGACTCCGTTAAGAGACTCCCAGATAGGTGATTGGATCATGGGAATGCTACACTCATCATGGATTAATCCACTGCTGCTCATAGCTGAATGTCTGTTAGGAAGTAGTCACTGGAGGCATGCCTTTGGAGAGTGTCTCTTTCTCCCTTTCTACCTCTCTTTTCTTCCGTCTCTCTCCCCCTCCCCCTGCCCCCTCCCTCTCCTTCTTCCCCACCCTCCTCTCACCTTCCTCCCCCCCTTGTTCTTCCCTTGTCCTAGTTCCCTGTCACAGCTGGTCTGCCATACCTTTAAACTGTTTCTACCTTGGATCCAGATTACCATGGACTGAGCCCTTAGAAATTGAGTCTAAATAAATCGCTTTTCCTTTGAATTACAGTTTTTAAGTGTTTTGTTCAACAGTGGGAAAGCTGACCAATCCATATCTGTTTTACTTTTATCTCTTCAGATTGTCAGTTATGTAGATCTTTGACTTTTAATGGTGTTCACAAGAACTCAAATGATCCATTCTTCTTCATTTTTGTCCTGTTGCTTCACATTGATGTGGTTATTATTTTTAATTGTTTTCTAGTCTCTATACTAAAGGTACACATGGTTTAAACATCATGCTTAAAAATGCTACAGCATTCTGAATTTCTTTTTTAATATTTCAAAAATTTGTGCTGAAGCTCCAGTAGTCAGTACAAATTCAGACAAGAAGTCTCTTCCGCTGCTGCTGTTACCCAGCTATAATGCTCTGAGTTTGCTAGGATGTGCAGTGCAGTGCATTCCTTCTTTAACGTCAGCCCGATGTGATGACAAAATCTTAGCCATTTAGGCTATAAATCTGCAAGGTGCTGATTTCTGTGCAGATAGAGATTATTGGGACTCACTCTTTTTCACCTTTACTCTTAGCAGGGGCTAGGGGAAGTCTACCCTTGGGCCAGTTGACAAGTGCTAGTGAATTTTGTTTCTGTTGCTATGCTGATGTCCTTGGTCTAAAAATCATGTGAAGCACTTTGATTTCCTTGTTTTGTGATTTAGCCAAAAGGCCATACCTCAGAATTTGTATATAAAGGGTAAACTGTCTTCTAATATGATTGCTTATGTCATGCTAAGTTGAAGAATGGACTTCTGAGCTTTAAAATGTAGCCTGTATCCACAAATATAATGTGGATACTAGTGATAAAAAGCATATGCTTCTTACCTTGAGGTCTTTTTATGTGTAGACTGTATTACAGTATTATCTACTTGGCTTTACTGTTTTTATAGAGTGATCTAGTCCCAAGGGAATTCTGTTAGAGGGGCGTAGCTGTTTCTTTGTTTGAAGTAATCCTGTTCAAACCAGACCGAATTGGTTGATTAGCTATTATTTATGTAGTTAAACAATTGACATGAAATTACTTACTTAGTAAAGTTTGAGCTGTCTAAAAGTTCTGTAGTATGCCAAAGTTATGTCTTGGTATGGCGTATGGTAAGTTGTAATTGAGTTAAAGTTTTTCCGTATTAAATAATACCATTAATTGGATATATTCTCCATAAAAATCAGTTTGAATCTTACGGTTTTACTTACCCTTTAATTCCTTGAATCTCTTCTTGATGTTTGGTTCTTTGTTCCTTCTTCACAGGGTATAGTTAATAAAGTATCTTCTAGCCACATTGGCTGTCTTGTACATGGATGTTTTAATGCCTCCATCCCTAAGCCTGAACAGATGTCAGCTGAGCAGTGGCACACTGTGGAAATAAACGTGGGTGATGAACTGGAATTTGAAGTCTTTCGTTTAGACTCAGATGCTGCTGGAGTATTTTGCATTCGAGGAAAACTAAATATTACTAGGTTAGTTCATCATATTTGAAAGAAGGATTGAATTAGTAGATAAGAAATTCCATTGCTTTGATATATACAGAAATTATGTTTCTTCTGTATCAAATGTTCCTTGTTTGGGTTATAAACCTGAATTTAATGGTCAGTGACAAAATTTTTCTGAACCAAATCAAAACTTAGAAGTCATATTTTGACTTCTAGAGAAATACTATGGAAGCAGAATTTAACATTTAGTGTGAAATTTACCATTGAATTTAACAGCTCAATAGGCCATAGATATGTCAGTAGGGTGAGGGATAACTGGATAGAATATATGAGATTTATGTCATTGTTGTATTTTATACTGTTGTTATTCAGAAAATCTTTGTATATTGATATATTCTTCATCTCATTTTGTTCCATTATTTTTCCTTGTTACTGTTAATATAACTTTTTTCTTACAGTTTACAATCCAAGAGCTTTGAAATTTCTGAAGAAGTAGCAGAAACTGTCACAGAGGAAGCTGTTGATATACTTCCAAAGAAGAAAAAGAAAAAGAAGAAAGCCCCAGAAACAGATGAAGTGGATGGTAGCATCACAGAGCTAGCAGATTTAGTAGATGTGACTCCACAGGACGAGGCAGACCTGCAGATTAGTAATAATGTGAATAATCTCTGTGAGGAAGAGCCAAAGAAGAAGAAGAAAAAGAAGAAAAAGCAACAGGAGTATGAGGATCAGGACCCTGTTTTCCAGGGTAGTGACTCCAGTGGTTACCAAAGTGACCATAAAAAGAAAAAGAAGAAAAGGAAACACAGTGAAGAGGCTGAACTCTCCCCAGTTCTGGAATGCTCACCTAAGAAGAAAAGAAAAAAGTAATTTTCTTTAGGGCATTTTAAATATAACATTCATCAAGATTTATACAGAAAAGATAAATGTTTTGAATGATAGTGAAGTGCTTATGTGTGCCAATAGTTTATAAAACAGGGAATACTCGAGTCGGAGGGTTTTTGCGCTAAAGTCACAGAACTGAGTATAAATTAGTTTGGGTAATAGCAGTATTAAAAGTACCATTTTATTGTGTATAGAAGATGATATATGCTACTCTCATTCTTAATTCTTATGTTCTTCCAGATGTTATACTGCATACAATTGTTTTATACCTCGTCATTAGCGAAAGGGCTTTATGGAATAAGTATTGTTTTCCTGGTAATGGGTTTTGTCTTCAATCAAACATTGTTTTTAGTTTGCTTTTTTTAAAAGCTTGGTACATGTTTCAGTTTTTAGGTTTCTTTTATCATATCTATGGTGTTCCTGTTGTTTAGATAACTAATGAAATGTTCAACAAATATTCAACTCAGTATATCATTGGCTCCCCTTCCAAAAACAAAATAGAAAGACATTTGGTCTAAATTGTTTCTTCTGTCTCTACCTTGGCAGGAATAGATGACTTCATGGTATTGTTTTGTCTTCTACTTCTTTCAAATAAATGTTTGGTACACTGGATCATCTTAAAGCTAAATAAGTTGTTGTGAATGTTTGAATAATTTTACTAAGGCAAAAATTTAGTAAGTTATAAAATTGGAGTATTTAAGAATAGAAATAGGATCAACAAACATAAATCTATATCCGGGATTTCAATAACAAATAAGCTACAGTCTATCTAGTTGTGGGTAATTAGTCCCATATTCATTAGATATAATTACAAAATACTCTGGTACTTACTGATTCAAGGAAGAACTAGGACAAATGAAATTCTTGCCAATTCTTAATAACAGCTGGAAATAGAAGGTAAAAGATTTATCATAGAGGACTATAATTTAGAATTTAAAATTAGAATGTATTAGTAAGTAAAATGCAGGATTTTGAGATTATGAGGAAGAAAGAAATGATGTAAGTAAATGTGCCCAACATAATAGAAATTCCTATTAATTGTGCATCCCACCACAGCTAATGGTTGATCCAGCTGATTAGCTCGAGGCTCTTGGATGCAACAAAGAATTGCAAGTGCACAGTCAAATGGCAAGTGAAAAGGAGCTACACTTACTGAAGATTGTACGACTGTATATACTCAGGACAAATCTATGCTGACAAAAGTGTGGCTTGAACAGAAAGGCGCCAGGACCACAGGAAAGCTAAAAGTACACAACACACAGATAAATGAGGCTTTTAGAATTTAAAGGATGTGCACCCCAGTCTAGGTCTTTAGGTAAGATTGACTGGAATGATTGACGTGGTAATGAGTCATTCATCTCGGGCTTTGAACACACATGCTTGTCCCGGAAGTCACTCTGATCTGAATTATATATATGAGGTGTAGTGCATATTTATGAACCCTTAATAAGGTTCAAGTAGGGTAAATATGACTGAAGATCAGGCCACGAGATCCGGTGCACCTGTGCTCTCAGCTAGAGCTTCAAGTTCTGGGCTTTTGTTATACCTCTTAGGACAATGGAAGGAGGTGTTGTCCAAACTCAAATGGGTATAGGGGAGTGATTTCCTCAGCTCTATCATACCTATATTAGTTGTATATAGACCAAATCACCAGTGAAAGGAAGTCGTATATGTATCCAAAACACCTTATCTCTGTCAGGGTGAATATTTATAATTACATGCAAGAACCTGAAAGAATACTAACTCCGTGAATGAATTGCCAAAGTATTTCAGTGCTCATGATTCTGAGATTCATACCTAATATTTTATTCATTACTTTTCAAACTTTAATCAATGTATCAATGTCCAGATGACATTGATACATCCCTGTGAGGTAGAATTATTTTGAGCAATCTAACCTTACCTATCTAGGAGATGTTTAATTATCTGTAAAATGAGAATACAAAATTGGGAAGTAGATGATTTAAAGATTTTCTTTCAAGTACAAAATCCTGAGTGTCACTGAGACTGATTGTCTGTTGTAGGCAGTCTGTTGTGTACTTGAATTCTCATTTCACCTGTTTGCATTAGAACTGTGAAGAGCCTAAGATGTTACCATACTTATACGCTTGCCAGAGTTTCATGGACGCTAACATAAGAGGTGAGACTATTAAGTTGAGGCCAAAACTATTTAGTTGTACATTATGAAACATGAGTGTCATCTTTATTGCACTTCCCCTTGACCTATGTCAGTGATGGTGAACTTTTTAGAGACTGCGTGCCAAACTGTAACCCCAAACCCACTTGCTTCTTATAAAGTACCAACACTGCAATTAAAACTGCACACTAAACCCAGTTTGTTGGCATCTGCTGTCTATGGAGGTGCTGTTTCTATTTTCCAAGGCTTTATGAAACATCCCTGAAAGGTTGATCTGGAACAAAATCACTAATTCTAGTAATTTTATGGACTTTGTGGCAAAGTTAATCTTCAAATTGCTCATTTATATAGTTGTTTCTTGTTAAAAAGTTTATGCATGTTCATTGTAAATAGTTATCCTCTTGCATTACATACAAAGTCATACATATTTATGTTTGTGTACTCAAACATGCCAGTGGGTATCTGGCAGTTTTCCCATCATTTTTATAAACTTATTTAGTGCATGGTTTCACGTGGGCCTATGAAATTATCGGTCCCAGTCTTTGGTCCCTTTGTGTTATGGTTTGTGTCTGGATGTCCCCCTAAAGCCTCATGCAGTCATGGGGTGTGCTTCTGGAGTTTGTGATTGATTCATGGTCCATTGCTGGGATTATGGGTGTGAGTGCTACACCCACCCTGGGGCAGGAAGTCTGTGTACAGTGTAAGAGGGAAAGAGTCTTGCTGTCTGTCCTTTTTTGCTTTTCCTGCTTTTGCTGTTTTCCCCATGAAGGTTGCCCCTCAGCCATGCCACCCTGCCTTGGAGCCAGTTGATTACGGATTGAAACCTCTACAAACTGAGCTAAATAAACCTTTGCTTCCTTAATTTTGGGTGTCAGCTATTTTGTGTCAGCAAGAAGAGAAAAGTAAGTAAGATACTTTGTGACCCTATCTCATGAATCATGTGTTCTGAAATAGCCAAGTTATTCAACATAGCAATGAAAGCTTTGGGAATAGTAATTTTGGTTCTGTAGGAGAATGGGTTGTGTTCTTATCTCTTGGATCATTTAACTGCTGTGAGAATGAATCTCACAAACTTTCAAACAGGCAGCTTAATTAGCTTTGGGCTGCACTTTGAAATCCATCACCACATCTGCAAGAGGCCATACTTCTTCCCAGCCAGAGGGCACAAGCAACACAGATACTAAGGCAGACCAGTTCTGGGAGACAGGACTCTTGACTTGAAAATTCCCAATGGCCCTGCACCAAAGTTTCTGTAGATTACATAGCAACCTATAATGCTTCCATCTACTTACCTGCCTGCCCTTCTGTTTCCTTCTGGGTCAGAAGCTTACCCTGTCTATTCCAGTTCCCTTCTCATTTTTTCTCAGGCATTTTACCTAATAAAATTGCATTTTAAATTAAATTGTCTAGGAATCTGCTTTTCACGGAAGTGGATTAATGAAGTTCAGTGATTTCTGATAGGATCCAGAGATGATGGTGATTACTTTGGCCATCATATGTAATAAGGCTGTTACGAATCAGGAAAAGCACAGACACAACAGATGGAATGAAGTAATAATTAGTTTTACGATCAACTGGAAGCCATAATCATCTCCATAGATATTTGTAGTCCATAACCCCAGATATCCCTCTTCCCCATGAGAACAGGAGCACGGTTGATCCAATTGCCTCTGAAACCACAGTACCAGTATAGTGTTAGTCACAGTAGGCATTCAATACCTATTTGTTGAATGAATGAAAATTTCAAACAACACTTATTTTTCTCCTTGTGACTTGTCCTTGTGACCATTTGAAAGTTGGAATGTTGCAGAAATACAAAGGACTTCCATGGAGCCAATGTAGTTTATTCCAGAAGATCAAGTAAAAAGAATCTTTGTTCTGTCCCCTTTGGAATTAAGGCAGATCAAAGTAATCCACTCACAGGAGGGAAGAGAGCTGCTTAAGTCTACCTTAAAATTAGAATATATTCCCCTTTAAGCCACATACCAGTAATATATAACACTACTTCATTTTGTTCTGCATTCTTTTTCAGAGCCAAATTCTTCTGCTCCATCAAATTAGTATTTCCACCTGGGCAGGCTCTTCTGAAGCAAATATATTTACTTCTTCCACAATCCTGCATTTTAGTTTAGAATTCTGTGTTCCCAAACAAAACTGACTTGCACTTAGTTAACCTGAAAAACAAGCCGACAACCAAACATGGTCATGAGAGTTGCTCTAAATATTCAGGAGTGTTATAGGAATTCTGGGTGTACAACATAACTAGTCCAGGAAAAGATTAGAAGTTATTGGAAAGCAACGTGAGGTTCTCAAGTCATTAACAGGCATCCCTCCCAGTCATTTCACAGCCCTAATCATATAGAGGATGAATGTTTGGCTTTTAGTCCAACATACCTAGTCTCAGGAGAGACAGTATGGGCCAGCTTGGACTGCTATAGCAGACTGATGTGAAGAACAAGACCAGTAGTATCCACTCCTGGTATTACTAACATGGCTGTCTAACACCCAAATTTATGAAAGAAGAATTAAAGGTAAGAGAAATTCAATGAAATGAATGAATGAATGGGGTTGGCAGGTAATTACCTGACTGACGCTCCAAAGATGACTTCTCTACTTTCAGCATAAATAAACATGCTCTGATTTTATCATCCAGAGGTAATGTGAGGGGATTATCCAGGTTTGATTTTTTTCTTTTTTTTTTTAAATAGGGTCCATTTAATTCTACTAATGGAAATTTTTATTTTGTGTTATGAAATATATGGCTCACCTATTGCTTTGAAAAAGCATTTTTTAAAATAGGCAGGAAGCCCTTTATTTGTTTAAATCATTAGCTCTGGGGACGCAGAATGTATTCCAATCTTCCCACCCAGTTGTTTAATTGCCCTAGAGGCTAGAGTTTGCCCTGCTGGTACAGTTTGTTGCTCCATGTAAATAAAGCAAATAAATTCATAAGATCATTTCCAATTTTTTTTTTACTACTTGTTACTGTCTTTGATTGTTTGATCAATCTTATATTCTTATGTCTGGTGGACAGAGCAACTTCGTTGATAACTGTAATGTAGCAACCGTTGTTAATTATCATTTTGTTTTGAAGTCATGTATCATTTTTGTTCTTTTTTTTGTTTTGGTTTTGTCTTCATTGTTGTTTTATTAGTTTTTTTTAATTTTTAAAATAAACAAAAAAGAACTACCAAAGAGCCTGAATCATGAGTACAGTCAGCTGGTGAAGAAAAAGCCAAGAAAGGCAGTTTTCATCCAGCCAAATTTTGGAGGTGCTACACTATATATTTTACCAATCCACAGGTGACAGCAAGAAAGACATACTAAAATACTACGTGCTTACAGCTTAGATGGGCCTTCCTTTGTTAACTGTTTCTACATTTGAATTGAACTAATTTCCAGTTATGAAAAACCTGTACTACCAGCCTATGAGCCTTTGAGAGCCATTTAAAAAAAATGAATGATGAAGACTTCTTGTTCTCCAAAATGGA